TTCCACCCACCCACACCCGCTCACCCCCACTTCCACACCCACACCTACACACACACCCTAAAATCTGATTTAATCGCTGATTTTTAGACGGAATTCGATTAATCACGATTTTACGCCGATTTTTTAAGAAATCGGCAAAATCGCCGCGATTTTCGCGACATGGGATGTCAATCGGTAGGTCAAACGCTTGACCAGTTTCATCAACTGCAGAAAGGTAGAGTAATGGGTAGTTCCGCGGGTTGATCAGTTCCATCAACTATACAAAGATAGATCCAAGGGTACTTCAGAAGGTTGATTAGTTTTATCAACTATAAAGAGGTTGATGAAAGGGTAGTTCACAAATTTCAACTACACCATAAACAAATATAAAGATAATAAACCCGCAAAGAGTTTATGAAAGGGTAGTTAGAAGAGTTTGCAGGTACTGTCAACGGCCTCAAGAGTCTCACAAAAGCAGGAAAAGGTGCTTCGAAGATGACTAATAATGGTTGCAAGCGTTATGAATGTGGGTTTAGCATTCGCATTGCATTAAAGTAATGCAAACACTAATCCTTTTTTGTTGGACCCTAAGAAACAAGTATTGCAGTTTGTGTTGGCTGATATCATGATGAAATGGAACCAGTATCCCTAGGTTCAATGCATTTTGTGTTATAACTTTAATGCAAAAACGTTGTAGTTCCTATTAAATTGACAGAGTATAGTGTTAACTTAGTAGGAACTAAAACGTTTTGCATCGAAATTGTAACATAAAACGAATGAAACTTAGGGATACCGGCTCTGTTGCATCATGATATCAGCCAATACAAATTGTAATGCTTTTTTCTTAGGGTCCAACAAAAAAGAATTAGTGTTAGCATTACTTTAATGCAATGCGAATGCTAAACCAGCACCTATAACGCTTGCGACCATTATTAGTCCTCTCTCAAGTGCCTTTTCCTGCTTTTGTGAGACTCTTGATGCCGTTAAGAGTACCTTCAAACACTTCTAACTACCATTTCATAAATCGTTTTGTGCCTTTGAAAAAAATAAGAAATAAAGTATTATTCTTCGAACTATTATAATGTAATGCTGATTCTAAGCCAGCATCCCTAGCAAACGCTTATAACCGACTACTGACGGTACACATGAACATAATCAAGACACCATAATTATTGACGAAGGTTGGACAGAATTTTCCGTATCTGCAAAAAAATAGGAGAGGATACCTGACAGACACATATGGCGTAAGAAGTGCTACACAACAAAGAAAAGCTGACGCGCTTGAAAATTTTTTTTCGGACACTACTATGAAAAAGGCGATGTAAAAAAAGAACCTGATTCAATGCTCTCATTGATATTAATCCACGAAATGACCTGAGAACGACTACATGCGAAAATAACCAAAAATAATCAAAATTTTAACCACTTATTTCATTTCTTCACGCTACTTCTAGCTTCCAAACTGTTTGGGTCCAAAAACAAAGGCGGAAAAAAATTTAACCAAAAAAATCTCATCCTATTTCTCACAATACATACTAAATAGAGATAGGAATATCTAACTGGGAAAAGAAAAAAGCATAATGTGAAAATACTTAGAGCACACCAAAATAGTGGCGTCATCATCTTATTTCGTTGATAGAAAACTTCAATAGATATTATTTTTCTTACTTAATGGTAGAGAAAACGATGCTCTATTTTTCTGTGACATTTGAACAACTTTCACTTGAAGTCATAATCATAAAATTTCAACAAGGTCTGTTTTTGTGTATAGCTTCAATGATAGGAGTGGCAGATTATGTGACCACACTTTGTATTTTTTTCCATTTTAGTGTTCACTCACTTTACAATTTTTAGTAAAAACGAAAATGTACCATCAAAATATAGTGTGAAAGTTCTACAATTTTTAAATAACAGCTTATGTTATACTTTAGATAAGGAGGAAAAAATTTCTCTTCGTTTAAGAAAAAATGATTCTTTTCGGGATAGTCGGATAGAATTTTCCTTATTTTAGAAGCAAATGTAAGCAATTAAGATAAGGGAGCTTGCAAAGACTTTAACGCTTTTCACGTTGCATCTTTTAATGTATTGTTTTCAAAATAAAAGATATAAGATGATAAAACGATGAGATAAGAAACAATCAACTAATTTCGTAGCAAAAAGCATTTCGTTTTAGAAGGATCGAAAACTGATTGCTCAACATTTTGCTTATTATGAAAAAAAAAGGTGCAGCTATATAAAATAAGCCATCTCGTGAAAACTTCAGAGCTTTCACGCTTCATTTAGTGGTATATTTTAGTTTTTAGACGAAACCTAATAAGTAATTTCATATTGAAATGCAAAGTATGGTCCTTTCCCAGACTCTCATATTAGCGAAGTTGTACACGAAAACAGTTCTTATCGAAATGTTACTATCATGATATTAATTGAAAAGTGACGAATAACACAGAAAATCCGAGCACTGTTTTGTCTCTGGCTACATAAAAAATAAAATCTATTCAAGCCTTCTATCAAAGAAATCAGTTGATAACGACTCTAATCTTAGTATGCCTCAAGAATCTCATACTGTTTCTCACAATAGATACTTAGTCAAGATTAAGAATCGCGAAATAAAATAGAAAAAAGTCGTGATCTTATTATTTTTTGGACTGAATTCTTGGAAAGAGATGAAATGACTACTGCAATAGTTTAAATCCAGAATAAGAAAAACAAATAAACTAACCTGTTTAATTGTGTTGCTGTTCATGCTATTTTCCAATATTGCTTTAATGTCACACTTCGTTCGATGTTCCATTCAAACCATTGTTGTATCAAATGACCAATCAATTTGTATTTCACATAATTTTGTTGGCACCAATCTGTTGAGTGAATGTGTTGATACGAATGGGAGATGGAGAAACAGGATCTGTCTTGATTTTCCCACAAAATCTAACCCTTGTGATAAAATAAATAAATATAGTGAACAATTAATATGTTTAAAACAAAGGGATAGAGTATTCAGAAGAAGCAAAAAGACTTAACCAAAACATTTAACTGATTTTGTCATCAAAGATCATTCACGACGGTCGCACTCTCTGACTGGAGAACAATATAGAGAGAGCTGAATGAAAATATTTGGTTCTCTTTCTCACAGAAGATTTGCAATACAGATTAGAAAATCTAACTAAGAGACGGGAAATTAGACTGAAACGACAATATTTGATATTTGCTCTCACAATAGGTACTTTTTTAGTATCATAATAACTCAATGAAAAAGGCGGGAAAAGACTTAACGAAAAATATTTCATTCCCTTTTTACGAAAGCTACTCAATCAATATCAGAACATCTTGTTTAAAAGAAGAAAAAAAGGCTTAAATCATCATATTTAGCTCTCTTTATAGTGAAATGTATTCAAAAAATATCAGAATATGTAACTCACGAATAAGCAACAACATGTAAACGATAACATTTAATTATCATTCTCACCATAGATACTCACGAGGGAACTACCCGAGGTGCTAAAAAGCTTTTGAGTTGCGGATGTGATGGTTAGATAGGGCATAGCTAGAAGCAATATACTCTAAGGTAGTTCGTGCCCAAGTTGCTTCTAGCAGGAGTTATGAATTCTTCAAGATATAAGCAAAATGTGCGTTTTTGCCCTTAAATCTTTTTTTCAAAGAGGGAATAACATATTAAACTGGATTGTTTGTTATATCTATCTCAATCAATAGTTCTTCTTATTTGAAAATTTCACCTCAAAGGGACTACAGATATAAGAAGAAAGACAATTTTTAAAACATTTTCCTAACTTCATAGCTTTTCATGTTTCATTACTTAAAGACATGAAATATTTGTACATGTTTTTTCAGTCTGTTCTCGAGTTAAGACAGACTGTCTGTTATATAGATGCAACACTGCTGCCTTCTTTTTTTACCAGATCTGAAAACCAATCTTTTGTAAATGGCCTTGTTTTTTATCTTCTTATATGTATGCATGAATATTAAAGAGAAGAAAGGAGAGAATGCAGAAGAAAGTATTTTTTTCTTCATCAATGAGTATCATTGCTATGGCATGTCCACGGGAATACAAGAGATAAAAGAAAAAAACAACATTACTTTCGAATCTGAGAAGGCAGATCACGTCATTTATCATAATCTAAAAGTCAAGCAATGGGTGATGCAAATCGAATAATACAATTGTTTCAAGAACGAGCTTCTAATGAACTAACGGTTTCATCATCACTTACTTCAGTACAAGAAGAAGAAGTTGCCAATCAATTATTCGATGTATTTGAATCGATATTGACAAGCACTTCGTACGATCAGGAAGACGAAACAACTCTGGATTACAATACGTCAGATAACGAAACAGATCAATCTGAGGAAGATTTCGATGAATCTTCTAATGATCCAGATTATGAAGAAAAAGATGATGCGACACCGGTGTTCGAATCGTTTTCTTTGTCATATATGAAACGAGCACTTGATTACTATGACGCAATTAATCCAAAAACTGGAAAACGGTCACACACGTGGAAAAGCGTGCAACACAAATTTCGAAGAATTCGTCATCAATCATATATGGCTCGTTTTCGAGACTATGTTGAACAAGAAGGAACAAAAAAGGAAAAGATCGATTCATTAAATGATTATGTTTTTGATAAGTTTGAGTAGGCTCGAAATCTTTTCTATCCAGTTCATGACATAGACTTGAAACGATGGACTATAAGAAAAGCTAGAACGATGTCGTTGCATGATTTCGTGGCATCAGATCATTGGGCCTCAAAGTTCAAGAAAAAGTACAATATTTGTTCAAGGAAAATTATAAAGGTGAGAATATGTTTTACAACAACTATACAGGTGGTTCTAATTATATATTAGTGCATAAGTATCGTTTAGATTTTTCAGATAGTTACGAAACGTGAATTGATTAATGAAACTGAAATTAAAAAATCAGCTGAACAATTTGTCACACAAGTTAAATTATTATTGCCTCGTTACAATGAAGATTGTGTTTGGAATACTGATCAGACAGGACTTCATCTCGAGTTTCCATCAACCCGAACTTTCTCTTATAGAGGTGAAAAGACAACGTTTTCTACCGTAAGTTCGATAAATGCAATTACTCACAGCTACACCGTTCAGCCAACAATAAATATAAGCGGCAAGATTGTCGGTCCCCTCTATCTCTGTCTCAAAGAGGTAAATGGTGGAATGAGCGAGAGCATTCAATCAAATCTTCTACAGGTGAAAAATGTTGTTGTTACATGCAGTGCATCTGGCAAATTAACCACGTCACTGGTCGAATATTGACGTGACAAGTGTCTCATTCCTTCGTTGTCTTCACAGCAGACATTACTTCTTTCCGATAGTTGGCCTGGACAGACAGTCGGAAAAGGCATTTATGAATTAATAAAAGGACTGAAGCGACTAGAAATTCCACGGAAAACGACTGCGAAAATTCAGCCTGTTGATGTGTTTTTTAACAGACAATGGAAAATAATGGTGCGTAAAGTTTACGAAAGGGTTCTTCTTGATGAAATAGATATTCATCTCGCACAGAGAAACAATATCATCCGTTTGCAATCTCTCGTTCATAATCAGCTTTCATCTCCTATCTTCGCGCCCATGATACGCTACGCATGGTTCAAGAGTGGCTATACTGGTTTTGATCCTCGCCCTTTCCAAACGACGGTGACACAAGTATGTTTTAAATTTGAACAAGATTACTGCGACACACCTTCATGCGATCAATTTGCGTTCATTCGATGCAGCTATTGCGGCCAAATATTATGCTTGCAAGACTTTTTTCTTAAGTATCATACCCATGGTATATGACTTATGAAACATGTAATATTTTTAATGATTTCTTTCATTTTTGCTCTTTGTCTTTAATATTCATGCATACCTATAAGAAGATAAAAAACAAGGCCATTTACAAAAGATTGGTTTTCAGATTTGGTAAAAAAAGAAGACAGCAGTGTTGCATCTATATAACAGACAGTCTGTCTTAACTCGAGAATAGACTGAAAAAACATGTACAAATATTTCATGTCTTTAAGTAATGAAACATGAAAAGCTATGAAGTTAGGAAAATGTTTTAAAAATTGTCTTTCTTCTTATATCTGTAGTCCCTTTGAGGTGAAATTTTCAAATAAGAAGAACTATTGATTGAGATAGATATAACAAACAATCCAGTTTGATATGTTATTCCCTCTTTGAAAAAAAGATTTAAGGGCAAAAACGCACATTTTGCTTATATCTTGAAGAATTCATAACTCCTACTAGAAGCAACTTGAGCACGAACTACCTTAGAGTATATTGCTTCTAGCTATGCCGTATCTAACCATCACATCCGCGACTCAAAAGCTTTTTAGCACCTCGGGTAGTTCCCTCGTAAGTCATCTTTTCAGCAATTTCTATGGAAAAAAAACTCATCGATTTGTTTGCTCTTGTCTAGTAAAAAAATTGTTCTTTTCTAAACCTAGAACATTGATTTAAAAAATTCGACAAATTATATAAAAAGAGAGCTATATTATACAATTTGATAGTCTTTTTCTTCTGTTTCCAGATATAAAAACCACAATTGTCTATTTTGTTTCTATCAAAAACAATCCCAAAACTACTCCCATACTTTTTTTAAAATGAGCATTAACGGAATCGTCATATATCGCAAGAAATAGGGTGTGGGTGCATGCATGGATGTTGGCATCCCTTTTAAAAATGGCGCACTTGGATCGATACTCACAAGGACATCTACACTTTACTCCGCGCCTACACCCACACCTCGCCTCATCCAATTCAAGTTAACTCAATCCAATCCAACCCAGCCCAACGCTAACAAAACATGTTATAAAGTACCATGCGCACAGTTATATACATGTAGTCCTACAAAGTGTGAGTATGTTTATGAAAATAAGCGTTGACTATTTTTGCCTTAACAGTGTTTTCTTAAAATATTCTCCACTTGAAGTGCAGTTAAATTTGAATTTCCTGAAAAGTGGAATTTACCATACCCTCGATTCTGACTCTGCTCTTCACTTCTTTGTTTGAGATATTGCTCCATGTATTACAAAGCATGACGCAGAGTGTGGGTGTGCATGTTTATAGTAGAAGAGACGCTCACATTCTCATCCACTACCACCCACACCCACACCCTCCAACCAACGAATTTAAAAATAAATCAAAGAATTTATTTGTTTCGCCATATGGAATGCCCTTTTTTCATTTTTTGTAACATAAAATTCTCTAACCTTGTTAATTTTTTTTTGTGTCTGAAGTTATCGGATGAGCTTCTACTCAAATGGTCTTCCATTCCGTGTGAGGGGAGTTACAAAAACTATGCCTAACATGATAGAAAATGTACCTGAAATATTACAGTTGATATCAATCTTTTTAATCAATACTACTCTTCTATTAAAATTCTAGATAGCTCATCGAAAATTCGCTAATTGGCGAAATTACAGGGGATTAATTGAGAAGATTACTGGAAGTTCACCAAAAGTGAACGTTCAATTTTTGAAATTTATTTTTTGATGAACTTTCACTAATTCGATTTTTTTGCTCTGTCTTGTGTCACATGCACTTATGAACATGCGACTAAGAAAAAGAAAAATATCGACTTAGACTGTATATCAGCTGTCCACTGGTCATTATAGTTATCCTGGATTTGTAGAATATACGATGACATACTTCTTCCTGCATAGAAAACTATTACGTAAAGAGTGTGAGTGTGCGTCTTTTCTTCAATGACACCTGCACCCACACTGACACCCACACTCTTGATATTTTTGGATATCTTGATGGTCGAGATTTATTCTATAAATTCTGGGGACTCAATAAACGATTCAATCAACTTCTACAATCACTTCAAAATCTTTCATTTACGATTGAAAAAGATGAATCAAAGTTGTTTTCATTAACTGCATGTCATATCAACAGATTAGTAATCGATACCTGTCTCAATATAGATTTCACTCAGTTTCCTAATTTATATTCATTAGTCTTGTATCAAATGACAGAAAATCATTTGAAACAAATCAATCAAAACTCATGCTGCATCTTGTTTATATGTCAATACCATCATACAACAAATCCTATGCTGTACCTCAAGTAATTCAAAAAATATTTTCTCCAGCACTATTTTCACTTAAGCACGTTCATCTAGGATACCTTTATGTATTAGAGTTTCAGTGATCTCAATCACATTCTCTTCATTCAATATCTGTTTGTTGTACTTCATCAATAATGCTTCTACGTATTCTTGCTTCAGCTCCCAATCTTTCAATTCTTTGTGCATGATTCGAAAAGAATGACTTGTATATTTTTCATCAGGCACCATCAATTACAAATCATTCTCTCAAATATTTCATCCTCTCAGACCCGTTTAGTGTATTATCTTTTAAATATATCGATACTTTTCTTTTGTATATGCCAAATGTTGAACGAATCAAATTGAATTTTAATTGTGACGTTCCATTAATTCATTTCGCTCAAACAGTTGCAAATCGTTTATTATATTTGCGTCGATTTGATTGCCATATTGATAATGCACCTGATGATGAATTAACGAGTGATGAAATAATACGACAAATTCATCCATGCTTTAATCGTATTCAATCTACCATAGATGATTTTGGATATCGAAAATATACAACCAATTAAGGATTTTCTTTTTCTTTTTTAAATCTATACATGGTTTTTAAGTATATATATATGTGTTCGCTTTTGATTATTTAGTACTCAATATTTTTATCCGGTTTTTGCTCATAATATTCATCTTTGTAAATTTAAGGGTACCTAAGTATATAAATTTTAGTAAATTCTTAAAATTAGTTTTGAACTTTTTATGAAAAAAGATTTTTTTGTTGCAATCAAACAAGCTCATTATGGTTTCCAGTACTTGGAATAGTTTTGTCTAGTGAATTTAGAATAGCTTAAAATTTGCAACGAATAAATGATTTCTATCCTAATGATAATAGACTAACTCATTTCACGGTGAGTTCTACAAAAACTTGTTAATAAAAATATTTAAAGTTATGTTCATTATAATGACCCTCGATTTCTTCACCAATAACGAAAGTTTTTGTAAAAAGAAAAGACATGGGTTGTGTGTGGTGTGTAAGTGTGGATAGGGTGCGGCTAACGTAGAAGAACGAACTCATGCAGCAACCAAAACTCAGAGCCACATCTTAAATCATTCATAACAAATTATTATTTCTTTAAATGAGTTTATTAATAAAGTAAAGAGTTAGTTGTATAAATAAGAGCATGAGTAGGTAAGCTTTTTAGAAAATAAAAATTTGGTCGACTGCAAGTCAAACTCTTAACCAATATTTGTGCATACGTATGGCGGTGGACTTTGTTGATTGGGATCGCATGACCATGTTTGTGCTTGAATACACGTTGTTGTTGTGCATTGAAGAAGGTTGGTGGTAGTTCCACATTGGTGTTCTGCAGGACATGCTGCACACGAGGTAGACATAATATTTGGTTGGTAGCTTCCAGCTGGACACGGTTGTGGACATTGAGTTGGGTCACTACACATATAACCCATGGGACATTGAAAACAGTAACTTGAATTGGTGTAAGTCGTGTAATACCCTGCTGGACATTGCGTACAACTGATAGCACCGTAATGACTGTAGAAACCCACGGGACATGGTTGTGGCTCCTGGCTATTTGTTGGACAGTAAAAACCTTTTGGACAAATTATGCATGTTTCTTGTGCACTGCATGTTGAATACCATCCCGCAGAGCACTGTTGGCAACTTCTAAAGCCGTATCCAGGAGCAACCTGGCCACTTGAACAAATGATTTGACTTTCACCATCTGGACAATAGTAACCAGGTGTGCACAAAATACATTGGCCTTGATAAAGATATTTGCCAATCGGGCATGAAGCCTGTTGAGAGTGAGAAACTAAGACCAGCAACAGAAAGACGATAAAAACAAGCGTCATTTGTGATTGCACTATGTTGTAATGAAAGGTTAAGTATACTTCTGCATATATCAACCTCAGTATTTATACTGTGTGAGATACGCAATTGACAATATAAATAGCAACAACAAAATGCTTAAAATAATATGTTAATTAATCGACGCAAAAAAATGCCAGTAGTCACAGCTTTAGTAATGGAATAGGTAGAATATCGTATTGACACAGTCAACAAAAAGCATGATGTACGATCATGTTCGATTTTAGGAAGTAGGGATTACTACGCAGAATGGTTGCAAAATACGCATGGCTCCGAAATACACTCATGCGCAATAAATGCATATAAAGTGCGGATTTTGAGTGGTTAGGTGTGGGTGTGAGTGTGTGACTGTGGGTGTGGGTGTGAGTGTGTGACTGTGGGTGTGGGTGTGAGTGTGTGGCTGTGAGTGTGAGTGTGAATGTGAGGTGTGGGTGTGGGCATGGGTGTGGGCATGGGTGTGGGTGGGGGTATGGGTGTGGGTGTGGGTGTATTGTATCTATTCATGTGCACCTCAACCCACCCACACCCATACCAACACCACCCACATCCACACCCCACACACACCACCCACACCCATACCAACACCACCCACATCCACACCCCACACACACCACCCACACCCACACCCACACTCTCAATTATTACACACATTCAATAAACGTTTGCTATTTTTTTCCCTTTTATACAGATAATTGAATTAGTACACAAAAGATTGTCATTACAAAATAATATTAATGGAGTTAATGGGCTTCGATACCAGCGATATGATGCTCAAATTAATCTTAATATACCTCAGGTGGTATGGCTAAAAGAACTGAAAATTCGAGTCAAACAGAAAGAAATTGAGTTAATTGATCAAAAAATTGACTTACTTTAATATAAACTTAAATATGGTTTTAAATTTTGATTTGATGAGGCGTCGATATTCCTTTTATTTTATTTTTTTTGTCATTATTATCGTATTCTATCTGATTGATGACAGTATATTGACATTTAGATAAAAGGATCATGTGTTTTTATCTTTTATCAATAGACAGAATAACAGAGGCAAGAGATAAATATGCTTATTCTATAGATTTAGATATATGTATTATACAAAAAACTTAGTTGAGTACGCCATTTCTAAGGTGCAAACTACTTTTTTGATGTCACAAGCATTTTAAAGAAGAAAAAAAATAATTGTATATCGATTGAGAAAAATCAATGAACGAAAAACAAGTGAATTTATGATATACATAAAACTATTGGTAGCTATTGTCAATTTGATATGACCAAACTAAGAACAATCAATTTTAATGTTGTTCTGTACGTAAAAATCGTACTGTTCACAAAACACATACACCAGCTAACTAAGCAATTATTTATTTTTTCTAACTGCATACAGAAATTATATAGAGAAAACAAAGTGCACATTACAACTAACGAAGAACGACGATTTATCCAATATGTTACACAGGAGAAACTCATATTTAAACTAAGCTCCCATTCTGAATGCTAGAAATCGACGTTGTTCGCGGTGAACATCCTCTAATTGTTGATTAAAAAACCAGTTCTACAAGCAAAACAAATTTCAATATCGATCAAACAAATAGAAAGTATACTAACTATCAAATCCATAAAAATATCAAAATCATTAATATTCCATTGTTTAGCAATTTGACGAATTTGTTTTGGTCCAGCATGTTTGTTCATTTTATAATCTAGTTTAACAAGTTCCATTTTAAGAAGCATAAAAATAGAACATGTATACTTACGTTGATGTAAATATTGAAGTTATTTAGTCGTTAGTTTTTCTTCGAATATTACGATTCCTATATAAGCAGTCATGTTATGATTGTTGTCATAAAATAAATATTATGTGGAATGGAATTAAAAGTTAAAATCTGTTCAAGTCTCCATAGAATTTAGATTTAATATTGATAGTTCACATGAGTTCATTTATGTATACGAAAAATCAAGATTTCGTTTCCATTTGAATCATCCCTAAAGCAGTTACTGATCAGCTGAAAAAAATGATTTATTACTTTGTTATTTAGAGATCACTTTTTCTCCTTCCTCAGTCTTAAATAATCTATTAAATATCAGACAGTCAAGTTATTAAAGCATACTGATAGAGAAATATTACAGAAAATCATTACTATACTCCAAAATATAATATCATAGAAGCGATCTTATTCCCCGTGAAAATCATTTTATGAAGAAAATGCTCGCTTAAAAGATTAAATTCATCAAAAGTCGATTTTATTATGTAAAGCAAACTGATATTGTCATGATGAGTATTTATTCATTTATTTTTTATATCAACATGGTATCTTTCAATTTAAAAATATCATCACCATTTGTATAATAAAACAACTGATTGTGATAATTTGTCTCATAAACGTTCTCGAACCTAGTTGATTTTTCAATTAATATACATAAACAACCCCTAATCGATACATAAATTAATACACCCCATGTCATTAAAATTGCGCAAAAATCGCCGATTAAATCACGATTTATTAGTCCGATAATCGTGAAATTTTATCGCGATTAATCACCTAAATTGGCGATTTTTGCCGATTTTCTCCCCGATTTGCATAGAAAATCGCGATTAATCAGCGATATTTTTAATACTAATTGGTGAACGATTGGAATGCTGCACAACCTTTCTTTTCATATTGTTGATGAATCTTTATGGAGAAACTGTTGTTTACTTTTTATCATGATGTTGGTTTATTCAAAAAAGTATGAATAGCAAGTGAGGTACACAGATAATATCAGTAACATAGTAACACAACAATATACATAAAAATGGCTTTGAGTTTATACAAAAAAAACGAACTTGAGTAGAACAAAAAAATGTTTAAATGTATATGAATAGTGTTTTGTCACTATCATCAAATAAGATCCTATAATTTACATATTGTGTTTGTACTGATTTTGCAACAATTATATTGTTTCGGATTGTGTGTGCAGCATTGAAGGTGTTCGATTTAGTGTATCTATAAAGCAAATACAAAAGAAGGTATCGATGAACCAATGAAAAAAATGAATTATATTTTATCTGTGCTAGGATTGGAACGTAAGATTTTCTGTTGGTTTCTTCGTTTACTTGAAATCAAACCATGAATAGGTGGCCAAACGATCGACATATCTTCAGCTGAGTACCGAAACTTACACTTGACTGCATCTGAAATAATAAAAACAAGACATACGATCAATGAAAGTCTTCCCTAGAACACTTCTTACTATATATTGCTATTATTCTTGGGTCTTCATCTGCTTTTTTAACATTAATATCTTGAAACTCTCTTTTATTCAGAAATAATTCATCAATTAATTTTAACGCATATTTTATCGTATTTTGTTTAGTACCCTGTATTTTTAACAAGTCAATAACACTACCATCGCTTCGAGTATATATCTATCGGAAAAGAAAGAGACATGTTTGTGCAAATGGTTTGTTTCTGAGACTTAGTGACGAGAGTTAATATTGCTGAAACTAAATTGGCAAGCTCAAATTATCGTTCTTGTTTATTTGTCAAATTTTCTTGGCTAAAAAACTACTCAACAACGATATTCAAATGATGATATTGATGATCTCTAGAGTAGGCTAAAAACCTCGTGCGCTTAAATTTCTAAAAGGTAGTCTTTACATTTCTATTATAAAAGTAGTCTTGCTTTTCACGAGCAATAGCCAAGATATATATTGTGTTTCAGTAGTTCTTCGCTTTTGAATAATTATTTTAAAATTGTTCTGCATCTCATTTTATAAATAACTTGATTGACCATATTTTTCCCTCAAGTTCCATTGGAAAGTACAAACTACTCAAGATAATAATGTACACTTCCAAGAATTTCAACTAAAGCCATAGGTTACACTTCTATTAAGTCTTCAATATAACATCATAGTACAGCTTATTATACCAAATGAAATTCTAGTAAAATCAATCATCATGAAAAAGCTCGCACATCGTTTTGCACTGATATTAAATATCTTTTCATTGATGTGCTTAATATGAAAATAAAAACTAACTACTTTGTTCATGATTAATATCAGCCAACTGTAACTAATAGTCAAATGTTAAAAGTAGTGATTTTCAAAACTAATCGCAGTGCAAATGTTGTCCATTGTCTTTTTCGTTAAGTGGTCTACAGAAAAGTTTTGAAATAATCATACAAAAGCGAAGAACTAATAAAACGGTAAAAGTGCTTTAAACTCTTGATGCTTAAAAAGATTGATTTTTACATACAAAAACGAAAACAATCTTCTTTAGAAACTCAAGCACATATGTCTTTTGCTTCATTCTAAGAGCTATAAAGATCACCATTAGAGTGTTATTATTGAGCGACTTTTCGCAGAAAATTGAAAAACAACTGAGAATTTGAAATTGAATTTTTATTTTTACATACAATGGGGGAATTCATTGATAGATCATTATTCAAATTCAAACTGTTTTCATCATCGTTTTCAAGCACAACTGGAATCTAGAGAAAAAAAAATTCGGTTTAAAAAATCAATTTCATGTTTATGCTTCTTACTTGATGTCTATTGAAACTTTTAGCTAATTTTTTCTGGTTTTTACACAAATCTTGTAAAACACTGTTCTGACGTTCCAAAGCAATTGTCATCTGACTTTGCTCTTTTTGAATTTTCATAACAGTAGCATTCAGTTCTTTCACATGATTTAGGAGTTTTTGAAAGTCTAACTTTTGATCTTCCTGGTTTTCACAACTACTATCATTCGCTGAAAACCGTAAGCGTTTAGCAACAGACAGTTTAGTTATTGGTTTTTTAGCACGTTTTTTTGAAGCAGCTGGTGTTGTTTGCAACGACAGAAAATTTGATGATTCAAGATCATCCAAATCATCTTCATCTGATGATGAACTTAACTGTTGTTCCTCTTCAACTTCATTTGAACTTGGTGAGCCACGATCATCTCCTGTTTTCCGTCAAATAATTACTCAGAAAAAGTCGTTTTAAAAAGAAATCATGTTAAAGAACTGAATGCTACTGTTATGAAAATTCAAAAAGAGCAAAGTCAGATGACAATTGCTTTGGAACGGCA